GCGCCACTCGGCCAGCCCCCGGAGTCCAAGTTTTAACAAAGCCTCAGGACTCTGAGGCAAGTGCTGTCTCTTTAGGGGACGCTGTCTGAGAGTTACAAGAAGGAAGAAGAAATGCAGTGTGTCCTAAGGGTTTGTCCTAAGGTGGCAAGCAGCTTGGCTGAATTTCTGTATAGCTTTTAGAGGATGGAGTACATCTGTCCATCACCCCGACCCAAGACAGCTCTTCCTGGGATATCTTTATATTATGCTGTTGTCACTCTGATGTCAAAAACATTCAACACCCTCCCATCACCACAAGGAAAAAGACTCCTCAGTCAGCAATTTGTACTTTTGTTTTTATTCCAAAGCATACTTAATTGTTCGATTTTAAGAACTTAATCCTAGTGCTAATAGCTATATAATATTTCTGAATTTGTAGGCAAACGTTATGTATGTATTTACTTGATGTATTATTTTTGTAGAAATGATACTTTGAGTAGGACATGCACTTGGAGTTGTTTTCTCAGTGGTGATGAACTTCACCCTCACTCCCCTTTAGATCAAGCTTCTAATTTCAAAGTCAACCAGAGTTAGATGGGCAGATAGCACCATGACCTGGTTAAAGGAAAGCTATCTCTCTTTCTCCACAGTGTGGTTCCAGGGTTAAATTAGATACTACATTCAACATGTTTGTCACATGAGCACTCAAACAGTGACTGGGATTATCTTCATCAGGCTGTTTATTTAGCTGTCCCTTGATGCTTATCACCATCTATGCTAATGCTGTCATACCTTGTCCGGCCACTCAGCATCCATTCACTGCTCTGCCAAGAAAAACAAAGGCAAGTGGCTTGACAAGGGCCCAGGGAGCCTGAGTGCAAATACAATTCTTTCAAGTGGAGATAGGCAGGAAACTAGAATTTATTCAGGATGTGTGTCAGACTCCTCAAAACTACCCCATGAAGTGACGGTTCAGAGACATTAAGTGACTTACCCACGATCACACAGCTAGGAAATGGTAGGCCTGGAATTCAAAATCAATCTGACTCTAAAACCCAGCCCTGTGCATTCCACGGGACTCTGATCAACCCAGAGGCAGCAGGAAGGAAGGTCACAGATGAGAAGGGTCTTTACAAAGATGATTATGATGCTGTTTGGAATGTGTTCTCTGTCCCTGAATCAATGAGCTCCCGGCCTATTTCCTCCCTTTTTGGAAGCACAAACCCTCCATGAGCTGCCTAAAAAGCATGTTTACCTTCCACCGCTTCTAAGAAGACAAGACACAGACTGAGGCCTGAGGCTAGCCCCGAACTAAGCCGAGGACCCTGGCCCACCCTTCCCCTGCAATCCTCCCCTCCCAGACCGCCTCCCCCTCCCACAGGACAGCAGGGGCCCTGATCTGTATTCACTCTCAGGTCTCCAGGAAGTCCTCAGAGGACTCAGCCACATGCTTCCTGGAAATCAATGTGTGTTTGACCAGCTACTTCCCTTTCATCTTTTCATTGTGTAGTTCTGCCCTAAGAACGCAAAAACATTGCTCCGGCAAGATTGGTTCTTTTTAAATCTGGCCAGAGCCTCACTAAGGTACATTAATCTTTAACTGTTTATGGATTTTTCTACTTAGAATATATGCCTTGTGCTTTCATTTCACATGGGGATTTGAATTCTGCTTCCATATTGATGATGACTTGGGAGACTTATTTCCTCTCCAGGATTTTCTTCTGTGGGCTTATTTATCAAAACCAACATGCTAAGATCCCCATAGATCTTTGCCTCATTCAGGAGACAACTGGTGGTTCAGACCTTGGGTTTTTGGATCAAAAAGAGCCAGACATAAATTCAGTCCCCAGCCCTGCCACTTGGTCCATGTGACCGAGCAAGTCACAAAACCTCTCTAAACTGCATTCTCTTCTGAAATTAAAGACCAATGGAGTCACATCTTACCCAGGGTTCTATAATCAGCACAACCCCATACATAGTCATAACAATTACTTTTGAAAAGTCCTTAACTCTGTGCAAGGACTCCTGTCTCCTCATCCCACCCCTCCATTCCTCACCCTTTTCCAGTGTCCCCTCCTCTTCCAAGGGCACCTGCCTCCTCTCTCTGTCCACTAGGTCAGCCTTTCAGGGCCACCTCCAACCCTCCCCTCAACCCGGCACCTCTGATTAGCTCCATAAGAAGGCCCAGGGTAAAGAACACAAAACCATAACCTTCCTTAAAAAGGCAAGAAAGTGGGAAAAGTTGTGAATACACATAATTCATATTTTTTCAAATGTATTGTTACTGGACAAAAACACATTTTAAGACTCTCATCAAAGTGAAAACACAAAACTGATACAGCTTCTGTTAAGTCTCAAACCCTCAAGTCTCAAACGCCAAGTACTTGGGCAGTGATAAAAAATAAATAAATAAAAACATTGGCTACCTCTTCCCAGCCACTGGTCCAACGGGCCTACTGAAAACAAAGCAAAGACCATGTGGGTGAAGAATTTGCCCGCACCTGTCTTCTATCTACAGCTTGGCAAAGGCTTCTCCCAGCTGCCCAGCTTCTCAGATAATCTGCCCCCACCTCCCACGAGTCCTTTTGTGGGCACGCCCCAGGGAAGGTACGCAGACTGGCCACCAGGAGGCAGATACATTATATTGACCGTTTTCCCACCTTTGTGTGACTCTGGTATAGCAACTGCTAATGGCAGCTCACTTGAAATTCCTTTAGTAGTTGCTTCTGACCAAAAAACTTTACTGCATCGCTGTCCTGACTTGGCAAGGCATGAAATCATGACCTCCAGTCTTTCCAGCTATCGTATCTCCCATAGTATGAAATGGCTATTTAAAGACTGAAATTAGACTGAAACTCAAATATTGACTTCTGATTTCCTACCAGCTATGTTACTACTATACAAGATGCTGTCTCAGCTGAACCAAAGCCCCGGGGGACTATCCTATCAAGTGTCTGTAACTTCACCAAAATTCTGCTGATCCTGTCATCTGGGTTTATGAGCCTTCACTCCATAAGGTCATCACTTTCATACTGGACTGTCAGGGCAGGAGATATTCAGCACAATCACCTCCCTGGCACAGCCTTGGAACTTGTGTGGGCTTCCACCAGCTCACGGGTAATCCCCCACCCCAACATCTATGCCTGCCCCACAGAGATCACAGGATTCTGCAGACCTCAGGCTTCATTTTCCAGGAGGCTTTTTCCTTGCAAATATATGTCTATGGGGCCACAAGATTGGAAAGTTGGGACCCAGGTATCTTTGCAAAAGGATGTTAGCGTGGTAGGGAGGTGGGCTGAGTTGGGGTAGATAAAGTAGGTGTTCTGTTCGTCACAGAACTGCCACGACTAACAACATCTCATTGAGTGTCCTGGATCTGCCTACTGGCCACGTCTTCACTGTGGGCAAGATCCTTCCAAGTCCTCTCCTTTTGTACCACCCTTTCCAAGGTGCTCTAGCCATCTGGCAGCAACCCAGGGGAGCTATCACTCCACCCTGTGGCTGGAATAGCAGGAAGTCATGTGAAAAATGAGCCCCCTCCCTAAAACTGGGCCCTGGCATGATTTAGCGGGAAGCCTCTCAAGATGGTGGACAGATATGGCTGCCCACAGGGCACCTCCCATCTTCCCAGACACTGGGAGGCTCTGCTTTCCTTTGAGCCCTGAGCCTAGTCGCATGTTACATTGAGCATTCATTCACATGAAGTAACATGAGGGATTAAGGACTGCAGATGGAGTTTATAAGCACAATTTAATAAAATACACCCTGAAATCATATTTGTGCTCAGCAGTTCCACCCCCATTCTGATGGTCATTCACATGTGCAGAGGATCAACTGGGGTTTTTATAATCCTGGCTAAACAAGAAAATGACTGCTTACTTCTTGATACCAAAACCCTCCCCAAATGCAAATGCAAACTACCCCTGAGATACCCTTTTTGCCTAGCAAAAAAACAAAACAAAAAACAGTTTGACAATAAAATCTGTTAGTGAGGAAACAGACACTATCATGTATTGCTTCTGGGGAGGCGAAATAGTACAATCCTAGGGAGAGAAATTGGGCAAATATCTAGCAAAAGTTCATTAAGTGTTTGCCCTTTGACACAGCAATCCCACCTCTAGGAATCCATCCATAAAATATGCTCAAAAAATACATAAAAAGACTTGTTTATTGCAGCATTATTCATTCCAGCAAAAGACTGGAAACAAACCCTGTGTCCATCAGGAAGGGACTGGTTCAGTAAACGGCGGGACATCCTTGCAGTGGAGCACTATGCTGCTATAAAGGGAAGGATCTCTCCCTGGATCACTGTGAGTGATCTCTAGCATGTTTTATTAAGTTAAAAAACAAGATATAGTTTGCTACCATTTATCTAAGAAAGGGAAGGTATGACTATATAATACATTTATATATTTTTTAATTAAAGGATAAATCTTAAAATAAAACAGACACATCCACCAATGGCAGTGTATGAAACTTGTCTGGATCCTGATTCAAACAAACAAACTGAAAAAATAAATGATGAGATAAGTGAGCACTTTCTGGATATTTGATGATATTAAGGAATTAATATTGTTTTTAGTTGTGATCATGGTGTGGTGTTATTTCCTTTTAATGGACTTTATCTTTCAGAGATTCTTCTTGAAATGTTTCCAGATGAAATGATATGATGTCTAATTTGTCTCAAAATAATTTTGGAACTGGGAGTGGGTAGAGATATAGACAAAACAAGATTGGCCATGGATTAATAGTTATTGAAGCTGGTGATGAATTCCTGGGACTTCAATATACAACTCTATGTTGATATAGGTTTAAAATTTTCAATAATAATATAATAATATAGTGAAGGGAGAGAGAGAGAGAGAGAGAGAGAGAGAGAGAGAGAGAGAGAGAGAGAGAGAGAGAAAGGAGGGAAAAAGGGAGAGAGGGAATTTGTGGGGCAGGGAGAGATGATGTGTCATTTGAACATTTGCATCATCAAAGAAGAGATTCTTCGGTTGTCCCTGGTATCCATCAGCCCCTGTGGCCTCTTGACAAGCCCTCTCACTCCCTAACATGGGAGACACAGGAAGACAGCTTTGTTGGGCCACTCTTGTCCTTTCAGACATTAACCTCACAGATGGCATGGTGACAGCTCAGGGCCTTTCCTCATAACTCTAGAGACATATTTGAACACAGGAAAAGAGAAGATTTTACAAGTCTCCAAAGTAAAATGAGCCCTTGAGAAGAGAAGCAAGGATGTGGTGTCCGATGAGGAAGTTTTTCTTTATAGCACAAGGCAAGAATACAAGGCCACCTGTCCCCTGCTAGGAGATTGGCGCCTCTGGGTATGGGAGACATCGCACAGAGGATGGGGATGAGGCTCGAAGGCACACTCTTGCCCCAGCGTCCTGTAAGGAGCATCCTTTTTTTGGGGGGGGGGAGGAGCCTCAGGGTCTGCCCCAGGGATCTCTCCTCCAACCTCATTGCCCTCAGGAAGCTCAGCTGGCCCAACTACTGGGGACCCTGGGCAAGTTGCTTGACCTCTCAGTGATACAGATAGGACTGCCCACCTCACAATCATGGGCAATTGAGAAATCATTTCATGGAGATGGTTCCCTGAACTCTAATTTATACCCACGGAGCACACTGATCCACTAGAGAATAAGCCAGCACATTTCCTCTCCAGTTCCTTTGAGCACACCCCTCCCCAGGAGCTCACCCTGGGGTCCTTGGCTCTCTCCTGCCCCCCTACCCCCCAACCCAGGATTGCTCACTGTGCCTGTTGCCAGCCTCAGGGCAGTTCCCCACTGGACTGGTTCTCCTTCTTCATGGTCTTGATGGCCCTTTGGGATTGGTCCAGGATCTCCGTTGCCCTTCTTTAAGGTTAGTGAATGAAGCAAGCCCATTAGAATGTTCTAGAGTGTTTATCTGTCCTCCTCCTCATCCTCCTCCTCCTCCTCTCAATCATTAACAATTCTGCCCCTTCTTCCTCCTTTGTCCACCTATCTCTCCTCTCCCCTGGCCTTTCCTCCTTCCTCCTAACCTCTCTGATCCTGGCTGTCCTCACCACCTCCAGGGAGCCCTCACTAATTGCCAACCCCACACACATCTTCTCTCTCTTCTTTACAAACTCTCCTCAGTTGCTCTCTTTGCTTAACACATCCCAAGTGATTACCCAGATGGAAAGGAGCTCCAAAACAATTTTGATTAATGGATTAAATCAAGCATGACAGAGTGGGCTGAGCGAGGATAATTGTGATGATATCTAATGCTTCCACAACATTGCCACAGGGCACTTTCCACTTCAACTCATGAATTGACCTTAAGGCTCCAGGAAAGGGGCAGAGGCCAGCACCCTTCTTTCCTTAGCCTTTTCCCTAACTTCTAAGGATCCTCAAACAGCAGTGTTTCTGGGGCAGGACTCTGCCTGTTCTCCTTTGCTTCTCACCACCTTGAGAAGTAGGTAGTCAGAGTGTCCCCATTTTACAGATTTGGGAACTGAGGCACAGATTGAATAAGCAACTTACCCAAGATCACTCAGCTAGACGGTGATAGTCATCTTCCAACCACGCGTCCTGCCTCTAAATCCCGCCCTCGCAACCAGCCCCCGGTTGCAAGTAACAGCACAGCCAGGATAGGCTCCACCTGGGAGAGCCCTCCTGGGAGTAGGCTGACCTGCTGGGCGACTAGACAAAGGCAGACAGAAATGAAGCCAAACCAGGCTGAGTGAAGTGCCATGTGCCCAGCTGGCCAGTTCAGCAGAAGTCAGGTCAGTAGATATCCAAAGTGACCAGAGGAGGGAGGAGGGGCCAGATATTGGTTCTTTGGGATGGGCAGGGAGAAGCGGAGAGGTGGGGAAAGGGGCAAGCCTCCTCCTAAAGCACAAAGGGACCACTCTGGGCATGGCAGAGGGCCAGGACTGACTGGGCCCTGCTGTGTGCCAGGCACTGTGCTGGGCATTTGGTATAAGCCATAGCTGGAGACTCAGCATAATGGGAGAAGGTTGGGGATGGTGCGAAATCCAGTTGGCTGAGCTGGATGGCGCAGGGGAGCAGGGAGAGGAATTTAGACTAGCTGGGGTTGACCAAGGAATGGCCAGTTCACTATTTTAGCCTATGGCTCAATCTCCATTCCAGTAAGGGAAGCCCAGGGGCTGTGCTGGCCCAGATTAGATGCCTTAGAGAACCCAAGCCAGGCCAAGACCCACCCAGCCACCTGCCTGAGTCACAGGGGTATCTTCTTGCATCTCCAGGCTGGGCAGGGCCAGGACAGGCTGTCCCATCACTTGGCTGTCCCCTGAGATGAGCCCTGGGATGGCTAGAAAGAGAGACACAGAGCCAGAACCTGTGTGAACAACTGATGGCCTGAGCATCCCAAAGCCAGGTGAGAAGAGATGGGAAACAGGCTTCATTGAGGGGTCAGAGCAGTGACTCTCAACCAGTGGTTACCCCCTCATCAACCCTCCCGGGGCATTTCACAATGTCTGGAGCCATCTTTGTGGGAGGTACCACTGGGATCCAGTGGGTAGAAGCCAGAGATACCGCGAAACATCCTACAATACATAGGACAGCTCCCTACCCCATAACAAAGAATTATGTGGCCCAAAATGGCAACAGTGCCAAGGCTGAGAAACCCTGGTGTAGGACAAGGTGGGTAAGAGGGGCTGAAATCCAAGCCACCCCCGGGATGAAGCTGCCCCTTCCCTCAGGAAGAGGTATCCTGTCCTAACTCAGCCAGAGGCAAGGTAAGGGCTAACACGGTGGAGCGTGGGGTGGAGGTGGGGAGCCATGGTAGTGCTCTAGGGGAAAGAGAATGCACCTGCTGTCACCTAGGCTGTGATTTGTGCAAAACAGCAATTTCAAAGAAATATTTAGTTTTTAATGGAGGGTCGAAAAGTCAGCCCACACGATTATGTCATCTCCTTGCTGGCAAAGACAGACGTTTTAAACCACTATGACTTACCCACTAGGTGGGAAATGAGATGTGATCAAAGATTTTCACTGCAGTACTGTTTCTCATAGTAAAGGTTCAGAAACAACACAAATGCCCATCAAAGGGAGAAAAGCTGGATAAACAATGGCATATCCTGCAAAAAGAATGAGGATGCTTTCTATGCATGGATATGGAAAGGTCTCCAGAATATATTAAGTGAAAAAAAGCGAAGTGCAAAACACGGGAGTACTGCGCTGTCACTGGGTGACAGGGGAGGGGGAAAAATCAGCAGTATATTAATAAGTGCTTACATTTGCATAAAACAGTGGGTCTCAAACTTGACTGTGCATCAGAACCGCCCAGAGGGGCTTTCTAGTCATGCTTACTTTAAATAACATCAACCTTGCTTTTATTTGGGGGAGGGATGTGGAGAATGCCCAGATTTGAAGTGCCCAGCTCTCCCAGCCCTGGGCGCCCACCAGCCTGGCCACCAGCGCAGGCTTTAGACAAAGACTAATAAGTGGCCTCTTTCCCTGGTCGCTCCAGCAACCCCAGAGACTGTTTCCCAACCCTCAAGTGGCCGCTGAATGTGAGAAGTTCACGGCTTTTGAAGGAATCCCGCAGGAACAGAAGAGTTGGAGGCAATAAAGCAACACCCCCACCCCCACAATCTCTTCTTTCATAGGGAAGCGAACTGAAGGTCTCAATGAAGGTGGCCGGGGGCCGGGCGCAAACCTAGCGCTCGACATCCCCTGCCCCCGCCCCTGCCCCCGCCCCCGCCACGGGGGGAGGAGCGATAGCTACAATGGATCCTCCTGCGGGCTTTGTGTACGCTCGGAATCCAGCTGTCGCCGCCCCATAGAGCCCCCTGCCCCTGGAGAGCCCACAGTTCCGGGCCGCCCACCAGCCGGGTCGCGTTGGTAGCCGCTGCCCCAGCGGAGCCAAGAGCTGCTCCCGCCTGTTTCGTGGCCATTCGGCCCCAGTCGCCCCCCGAAATGCCGGTCGACTTCACCGGATACTGGAAGATGCTGGCTAACGAGAATTTCGAGGAGTACCTGCGCGCGCTGGGTAAGCCGCTGCCCGCTGCTCTCGGCCTGGGCACCCGGCCGAGCCCCCTGAGGGCCCCTCCCCAGAGCCCTCCTGAGCCTGCTGCCCGCCTGCCTCAGCCTGGACCAGCCGCGGCCCCGTGCCCCCAGGCAGCAGAATGAGTGTCCTCTGCCACAGGGTTGTTAGGTTTATTGGTGGTAAATGTCAGATAGTTGGCTCTAGACATGGATAATTTCATTAGGTAAGCTGGGCTTAGTTTGCTAGTCTTTGTTTTTAAAGGGTTAGCATAGGGCAGAAAACTTCGTTGCAAAAAGAAAAAAAAGAAAGAAAAGAAAAAGACAGACTGGCTGTGCGCAGCGACAGCACTAAGTGAGAAGGGAACCCCAACTGTTTAACAGGGAAGCGAACCCCTGAGCCCCTCTACCTTGAGAACATATCTCTGAGTTTTCTGGCCAACCCTCTAGCCCTCTCTGTCCCTGCCCCCCTACAGATGTCAATGTGGCCTTGCGCAAAATCGCCAACTTGCTGAAGCCAGACAAAGAGATCGTGCAGGACGGCGACCATATGATCATCCGCACGCTGAGCACTTTTAGGAACTACATCATGGACTTCCAGGTTGGGAAGGAGTTTGAGGAGGATCTGACGGGCATAGATGACCGCAAGTGCATGGTGAGGATGTGGGTATGCCCTGGCATCTCCTGCCCAGGGTGCCTAACCAAAGGCTGGGCTAGCTTATTTGAGAGGAGATGGAGGACAGTTGTGTTCTCAGGAACCAGGGATCTTGGCACTCCCAGCCCCCAAGGTAGGCAGCACCCACTCATCAAACATCCCCCTCTGTCGAAACCAGATGGTAATAGTCATGAAAGCTGCGGTTTGCTGAGTTTCTACTGTGTCCTGACACTGAGCCAGGTGTCTAATACAGTTGACGCCACCTAATCCCCTTAACAACCTTTGAGGCATGAGTACGCCCATTTAACAGATGAGAAAACAGTCTGAAAGAAATGAAGTAACATGCCCAGAGTAGCACAGCTAGGGAGGGGCTGGGCTGGAATTCCAGGCATGTCTGTTGACTGCTTGCTGGCTGGCTGCACTCCGGGCTGGTGAAGGAGAGCAGGAAGGGAGGAAAGAAGAAACACAGGGAGCTCTCTTTTGAAGTGTAAACTTCCTATATGACCTAGTATGAAGCCACTCCAGGAAGCAGGGGGCACCAAGATCCCTGCCAGCAGCCTTCTGACCTGCCTCTCCTGGTCCCCAAACTGGGATTAGGCTCCTGACCACCCCCCTTGCCCCACCCTATCCTCCCCTGCCAGCCGAGCTCCCTCTGAACCTTGCAGCCAACACCTACTCAGGACGGCAGCTCCTCTGCAGCCAGAGGAAGCGGCAATGGACAGGGAGAGGCGTGAGCTCCCGCTCCCAACGGTGGGAAGCTGGTGACCAGGAGACCCCAATTAGTGCTGCCATCGCAGATTCCGGAAGGTCAGCCCCAGGCCTCCATCAACATTCTCTGGTCACTGGGAGGTCAGGGCGTTCCTGGTCTCCCTTTCACTGTCTTGGGGGGAGCCGGGGGAGGTCCAGATCTAGTGTATGCTTATTGATGAGGCCCTTGCCCTTGCCCTCCCCTCCCCCTTCCACCATCTATCAGGGGTCTGCTGTATGCCCTGCACCCTGCCAGTTATTTTACACCACAGCCAAGTGAGGGAGCAATTAGTCACCCCATGTTACGCAATAACAGGCTCCACAGGGAAAGGAACTTGCAAGAGATGGGATTTGAATCCTAGGTCTTCGGACTTTGAAGCCCATGCTCCTGGTCTCTGCTAGGATGCTCTCTGCTGGTAGCCTTTGCAGAAACCAGGCGGTTGAGGTTTGTTAGGGCTGTGGTTGAGGACTGCTGGTGTCTGGAGCCCCAGGCTCGCACGACTCATCCTCCTCTGGTCGATTCATCTGAAGGCAGTCAGGAGTTGGGAATGATGGCGGATGAGGGGACAGCGGCAGGAAGTGTCCTTACAGAGGCCACTAGTGGGAGAAAATACTATTGTTGTCGGGAAATGTCAGGTTGTGACTTTAAAAGGCCCCAGATCTCTTTATCTGCCCAGAGGCAGAGGCTCAGAGTATGAAAGGCCTGCCTTGGTGAGGTGGGGGCCCTGCCTTTTGGATCACTGCCCAAGATCTGCTTCCTGGGCTGCTGCATGGAACAGAACGGTAAGAACAGATGCCCCAGCTTACTCTGGGGGTCTCACACAGTACATCCCACATCTCTATTTATTGTGGGTTACCCACAGCCTCTGGAATGTGTTGGCTTGTACTTGACTAATTATCTTTGCGCTTTCATTTCCTCCCTCATCCATTAATGTATAAAATATATATTGATCACTTAATAATACTAGCTAATACTCATCAAGTGCTTACTATGCACCAGGTACTGTTCAGATTTTATTTTAACTTACTCACTCTTCACAACGCCATTTTCAGCCCCATTTGACAGATAAATGTAAGGTAGGACTTCATGTCGTGTGACCTTGGGGACGTGAAATAAATGGCAGAGGGAGGATTTGAATTTGGTCGTCCACTCTGGAATACCTGCTGTTAATCATTGCACTGTACCCACCACTTTCTTCACATATTAGTCACTGTACCAGCGGCAGGGTCACCGCCGAGCACTTCGCAACCCCTGGTGTTCAGGAAGGCACAGTGTCTGTGGTGGAGACAGACACACACACAGGCTGAACGCAGTGAGATCAGTGGAGACAAAGGGAAAGTGCCCAGGGGAGGGGAATGCAGGAGATCTCAAGGTCACGTCTGTACTTGATTATAAAAGAGAAGGGGATGGAAGGGAGTAGGTGACCACCTTCAATTCTCAACCCAGTATTAGGACAGTGGTAGGTGAACAGATGAGGGAGCCCAGCAGCTGGGCCAACTAGATGAAATCGGGCAGGACTCATGGTCACCTCTGATGTCCCACGATTCAGTCGATGGCCACTCGCTTACCTTGCTGTTGCTCACTAGGGGAGGGACCGCTCCTCAGCTCGGGCCTTTCCTTGGCCCCCTGCCCTGCCTTTCTCTCCTGGCTGCCCAGCTGGATGGTGGACCATAGTGAAGAGCATGGCTGCAGGGGGGCTAGGATAATAGAATTATAGCAACTGTCCAGCCTGCAGCTTGTGAATGGAGGGAAATGAATGCCAAGATGCCATGCGGGCTGAGGTCTCTAGGCCTTCAGGTGTCCTGAGCAAGGTGGCTGCCAAAGACAACTTTCCCTACCGCCTCTTCTGCTCCACACGCTCTGCACCCACCAACCAGAAGCAGCAGCTGAGAGGAAGCCCGTTTGTTCTCCACATCAGGTGATTTCATTCTAATGTGTTCTTCCCAACACATTCCAAGAGTCTCGTTTCTCACCTGGGATCATTCATTCATCTGTTTTCTGTATTCCTATCTTGCTCCTACAAGCATTTCAAGGTACTTGCTCTATCTTTGCAGCCTCTGTGTTACTGGGATGAGTAGCACAAGAGTCCTGCCTTCACAAAGTTCAGCGTAGTGATGGAGGCAGACCAAAGCAGCCAATCATACTGTGATAGTGTGCCGATGGGGGAAGGACAGGCAGAGAAGGAACCCCTCCCGGGAGGTCAGGGACAGTTCCCACAGGAAGTGGAGTCTGAGCTGTGACCTGAAGGACAGACAGGAAATAGCCAGGCAAACAGGAAGGGGACAAAAAGAAGGCCAAAGCCAAGAGAACAGCACTTGATAAATGCTATTTCGGACCTGTTCCAAACCAGGCCCCGGACTCAGAATGAGGACACGGACGCAGCAAGGCCTCCCGGAGCACCCAGGCCAGTGGAGGAGACAGGCACACCCTTAAGGCATTACCACCCAGCGTTGTGATAGAAGCACAGTGGGCTGAGGAGCGCAGGGCTGGGGGAGCAGGGGTCGTGGAAGGTTCCCCAGAGGAAGTGGCATCTAAGCAGGACCAGTAAGAATTGGGGCAGATATAGGGAAAGGATAAAAGCATTCCAGGCAGGGGGAATTATGTATACAAAGGCCTCTGGGGTCAGAAAAGGTCTGGTTGGGAGGAGGTTTGGAGAGGTGGCAGGTGCCATCTCTGAGTCTGCAGTGTGAGGAGAGGCGAAATGTGGCCGGGGGGAGAGGGGCGTGAGGAGGACCTGGCAGTGAACCCTGGTGTGGCCTTGACAGGCTGCCGGGAGCCCTCGCTGGGAGAGGCGTCACCAGGCTGACTTTCCTCTCTGAGGCTTCTTGGCTCACAGATCTCTGACCCTGTCTGTCTTCCATGGAAACACAGATAAGGTTCCCAGCCAGAGGGTGAAATCCGGCCTGCAGATGTGTTTTGCTTGGCCTGCACAATGTTTGAAAAATTTCAGAGCCAGTTGCCAAACATTGTAAGATTTTAAAAACACACACACACACACACACACACACAAAAACCACATATTTCTGGCTATTCTTACCAAAAAAAAAATCAAGATGCTAAAAATGCTGGTTGTCTGATTATTCCTGTGCCAGGTGGCTTCCTGGTTCACTATCCCAGTTGCTCTGCTTAGATGGGACATTCTCCAGTTTACCTCCGTCCTCACCCCACCCTGTTACCTGAAGTCAAGGATCAGCTGGCCCATCATCACTGTTTGCGCCATGGGTTCCCTAGAGCAGTGGTTCCCAAAGTGGAGGCCAGCAGCAGTGGCATCATAAGAACGTATTAGAAGCACAGATCCTCCAGCCACACCCCAGCCTGCTGAATCAGAAACTCTGGGAGCAGGGCCAGCAGTCTGGGTTTCAGTATGCCCGCCATGTGGCTCTGATGCAACTGAAGCTTGCAAACCACAGCTCTAGATTAAAGAAACATGTCTCTGTACCTGCATCTCTATGCAACCAGGTGTAGAGCGCCACGTGCCGCTGGCCAGTTTAGTCCATCGCCCTACTCCTGTGGACATCGCAGTTGTGCCCAGAGCCACCTGAAATGGCTCTGCGATCTCTCCCTGGGCTGATGCATGGAGGAATTCAGCTCTGTGTAGCCAGGATCACTTGGCTCACATTTCCAATCTGTTGTATTCAGGTTTTACATGACCCAAAAGCAGCAGGGGCTGTCATGTTGGTGGGAATGTATAGACTGGACTTGGCTTTTCTCCACTGCCTCGGGCACGCCTTTATCTATTAGGATGAAACCTCCAGCCCAGTTTGAAACCAATATCATTTATTGAATCTAGCAGGTGTAGGTTTTGGCGGGGTTGGCGACCTAGAAAAAGGGAAGTGCTCCTCAACTTCAAATACTGTTCCCCACTCCTGGGCCAGGGAATCTCCCAGAATGAGAAATGACCGGGTTCTTTGTTCCCAGCTCCCCCCAAGCATGAGCAGCTTTTGTGGGAGAAGACCTAACCTCAGCTAGGAGTCACAGCCGTGAGCATGGCTCTGTGTGGCGGTGGCAGAAGGGCCATTTGTCACCCCATCATGGACGATGGGTCAGGTTTGTCCTGGAGGAGGCAGCTTTGTTCACTCAGGAGCCTGGCGCCTCCTCCCCTGGCTGAGGCCTCAGCTCTGAACTCAGGATGACCCCTTCCACAGAGCCTGCCTTCCGCTTCTAGTCCTCCGCCCCTCTGTGGAGTTCTTTGTTTTTATTGTAAAAGGAAAAAAAAAAAAATTCAAACAGCAAAGGAGAGAGTGAACTAAAA